GTGGGACGCGTGGTGCGCAGGTCTGCGCGCTCGATTTGAGCCAATCGCGGCCTCGATCTCGGCGTGACAGAAGCTCCGCACTTGGCGCCAACTCGGTTCCGTCCAGGATTACACGAGCGGATTTCTGGCGCTATGCGAGCAGGTGGGCTACATGCATGAGAGCGAACGCATCGACCGCTACATCGGCGGCCTGAAGCAGGACATCGCTCAGGAAATCCAGCTTCGCGGCGTCACTGAGTTTCAGGAAATTCTCGCTATGGCGGAGAAGCTCGACTTCTTTCGCCGACCGAGACCGGGGTCCTACAGAAACAACACCTGGGGACATCGGCCTCGTGGGACGAACGAAAGCGCCACGATACCCGCCGTCGCCGCAAATGCCGTTGCCGCACCGTTCAAAGGGCGCTGCTTTGCGTGCAATCGGCCGGGACATCGCAAGAGCGAATGCCCGGAAAACGCTAAGGGAAAGGGGGAAGCTGAGCAGCAGACACAGACCAAGCAGCAGGGAAACGCTGGAAGTCAGTAGCAGACGGGCCCTCTACTGACAGGTCACGCCGCTCGCCCGACCCAACCGACCCTCACCGAGTGATTGTGCCGGTTCACGCAATCGACCACACCCGGCCGAATAAAGAGGGTACCACGGTAGATAGCCCTATACTGCTCAGTGGGAAAATTGGGACGGACTTAGTTAAAATCTTCGTAGACGGGGGAGCCAGCCACAGCCTCATTAACACTGCTACAGCACGCAAACTGCGACTGCCACTGGACCGATGCTTACCTGAGATCGACGCACGACTGGTAGACGGCACGCCGCTGGCAATACGGGAACGCGTAGACCGAGTTCGGATTCGATGCGGGGGTAACTTCACGTTTAGTCAGGAAATGCTCGCAACGACCCTCGACGGAACCGACATTTTACTCGGGCGTGATTGGCTGCGACGACACAATCCGCGAATTGACTGGACGACGGGTGACTGCACCGTGCGAGTAAACGGTAACAACATCGCCTTACCTCGCTGGGGCTCGCCTGAGTCTTCGTCGGTGCGTGTCAACGCGATCACGATGAAACGCGCTGTTGCGGCCGGAGCTGACGTGTACGCGGTTGACATTCGGGAAGCCGAGGCAGCAGACAAGGGGGGCGATTTACAGAAACTGCTGACCGACGTACCGAGTGACCTGGCGGCACTGTTAAAACAGTACAGTGACATTTTCCCGGATGACTTACCGACGGGACTGCCACCTCAGCGACCGCACGATCACAGGATAGAACTGGAACCGGGGGCACAGCCAACAGTACAGCGACAGTTCCGACTGACCCAACCCGAACTAAACGAACTAAGGAAGCAGCTCGATTACCTGCTCGAAAAGGAATTCATTCGCCCTAGTTCGTCGCCCTTCGCCGCACCAATACTGTTCACACCGAAAAAGGACGGGGGTTTTCGCATGTGTATCGACTACAGGGCACTAAACAGGGTTACCATCAAATCCCGTTACCCCATCCCACGAGCCGACGAACTGATCGACCAACTGCGTACAGCCCGGGTTTTCTCGAAAATCGACCTCCGAGGAGGCTACCACCAAATCCGCGTCAACCCACCCGACTGCCCTAAAACCGCATTCCGAACACGCTACGGATCCTTCGAATACACCGTCATGCCATTCGGACTGACCAACGCCCCCGCCACTTTCCAAATGACCATGAACGAAGCATTCCGCCCGCTTTTAGATAAGTGCGTCATCGTTTATCTGGACGACATACTGATTTACAGCCCTGACAGAGCACAGCACTTACAAGACATCGAAGCAGTCTTCAAAATCCTGAGTGAGAACCGCCTACTGACCAAAGCATCTAAGTGTGAGTTTTTACAGGACCGCCTGGAGTTTTTGGGACATGTTATTTCAGCTGCAGGAGTGGAAATAGACCCGAAGAAAATTGCGACGATTCAGGCTTGGCACGCGCCGACCAACTTGACCGAGTTGCAGAGTTTCCTGGGGTTCGTCAACTACGTGCGCCGGTTCGTCCCCGACATGGCGAAGCTGACTGCCCCGTTGACTGACCTGCTGAGGAAGGGGGTTGAGTACACGTGGGGGGAGAAAGAGCAAGCTGCCTTCTCGGCCCTCAAAACTATTTTGTGCTCCCCGCCCGTCCTTCACATTGCAGATCCCCACCGTCCGTTCGAGCTCGTCACCGACGCAAGTGACATCGCTGTGGGAGCAGTACTGTTGCAGGATTTCGGGAACGGCCTCCAGCCAATCGCGTACGAGTCCCGCAAACTACACCCGCCCGAACGTAACTACCCGATACACGACCGCGAGATGCTAGCGATCGTGCACGCGTTCAAAGTTTGGCGATGTTACCTGACTGGCGCCGACGTGACAGTACGGACAGACCACCGCTCGCTACAGTATCTTCGCGCCCAACCGAATCTCAACCCACGACAGATTCGCTGGTTGGACTATCTCGAGTCCAGTTTTCACTACACCGTTACGTACAAAAAGGGTGCATCCAACATCGCTGACGCTCTCACCCGCTCCACCGCCCAACTCCATGCCATCCTACTCGCCCAGACCAACCCGCTTTTAACTGGCCTATTCACCCACGGATACCGCACCGACCCATTTTTCACGACCGGAAATTCACAGCAACTGGCAGAAGCAAAAGGAGTCTATTACGTAAAAGCAGGCACCAACCGCATTTGGGTACCCGCGTACTCACTACTGAGGGAGCTGCTACTACAGGAGGCACACGACGGGATTACCTCGGGACATTTTGGGGTAGAAAAAACGCGACAGCAACTGCAGCGGTACTATTACTGGCCGGAGCTGTTGACCGACGTACAACAGCAACTGCAGCGGTACTATTACTGACCGGAGCTATTACTGGGCTCGTGCCCGACGTGTCAGGTGATGAAGAGTTCAAGGAAGCGGAAGGCGGGTCAATTGCAGCCGATCCCACCGCCCGAACGCGCCTGGCAGCAAGTAACCATGGACTTCGTCACAGGGTTACCTTCGAACCCTGGGGGTAACGACGCGGTGATGGTCGTCGTGGATAGGCTGATGAAGATGGCACACTTCGCTGCGTGCAAAAAGTCGATCTCAGCCGAGGAGACCGCTCGCCTGTTCATCGCAGCCGTTGTTCGCCTGCACGGGATACCAGCAGCAATTATCAGCGACAGGGACACGAAATTTACCAGCAACTTCTGGAAGAACCTCTGGGAGCAGTTCGGGACCAGGCTACAGTTCAGTTCGTCGTACCACCCCGAGACCGACGGCCAAACGGAGCGGACGAATCAGACGATGGAGCAGTTGATTCGTGCCACGTGCGACGACCCCACGACCTGGGAGCAGCAGCTGCCGCTGATCGAGTTCGCGTACAACAACGCCACATCAGCCACGACGCAGCAGTCCCCGTTCTACCTGAACTATGGGCAGAACCCCACAGTGCCCATGACGCCGAGTCCGGACAACCCAACGCCACGCGCACTACAATTCGCCGAAATCCTGCAAGCTGCCCGCGCCAGAGCCGCCGAAGCAATAAAAAAGGCCAACGTCATCGCTAAGCGCAACGCTGATCGCCACCGCCGCCCCGTCACATATCAATCTGGAGATTACGTGCTACTCGACACGCAAAATCTGCGACTGCCCGACGTACCAAAATTACGACCACGCTACTGTGGACCATTCCAAATCAGTCACATGATCACACCCGTCACCGCACACCTACTGTTGCCAACCGACTGGTACATCAGCCCTTCGTTCCACGTCAGCCTACTTCGCCCATACATCCCGACCACAAGTCAACTGCCGCGTCACCGCCCACAATCAATGACTCGCCCTGCATCAGAGCCGATTATCGAGCCCGAAAAAATTATGAGCCATCGGATCCGCCACCCCACGGGAATCAGGAGGACTGAATTCCTCGTTCGTTGGAAAGACCGCACGCCAACTGAAGATAGCTGGGTGCCCCTGAGCAACATCGAAAATCACCCTGCCCTGCAAGTGTACCTGAGGAGCCGGGGATTCCGCGATATACACGCACTCGCGTAGCGGAGGGGGCTTCTTGAGGGGGGGGGTAGTGTAAGGAATTTTCTCGGCATTCCTTACGGAGCCGACTACATCGCGTACAGCAACAGCCGATTGTTCGCCCGTTACTGCTAACGGAACTTCGCCGACTTCGCGCGCACTGTTTTACCAAACCTCGCACTGCTGGCATGGCCGTATCGGCCTACGCTTCGGGACTAGCCTGAGCCTCGCTCCAGCGTAGCACTAGCAAGCTCGCACGCACCGCGTTACCGTTTTGCATGTTTCGCGTATAAATGTTCGCTCATGCCTTCGCTCACATTTTGTACTCGTTTGACACCTTAGTGCAATTCTCGCTACCTCGATTCATTGCACCCGTAACATTATCCCATAATGATCTGCTGTTGGACACTAGCCTGCGCCGTCCCAAGCCAAGGTGCCGAAGTCACTGCCAAGCCTCAAAGCCTGGTCCAAAGTATACGCGATACAAAGTGGACAGCTGTTGTGTAGGACGCCACCGTGAGCACATTCACGAATTAATAAATCTCCAAACATTGTTTTTCTCATAGCTCCTGTCCCTGCTGCATTTTCAAGGCAAAGACACCATGTCCTCAGTGATACCACCACAGCGAACCTCGGACCATGATGGCTCGGATCGGCTTGACGTGCGGCTCCTTGATTCCCGCGTGCTTCCGCAATGCCTCGACGCGGTGGAGTTCTGCCCGTCTCGCCATTTCCCGGGCACCTTCGCCGTGGCATCGTATCATCTAGTACAGCCGCATTCGTCTGGCGATGCTGACGTGGCTGCCACAGTCACCGTCGAAGATTCTTTCGAAGCTGACGGCGAGACGCCAAACGGAAAACTCCAGTCGCGTCTCGGCGGAGTGCACCTTTTCAACCTTGGCGCCGTCGATGCTGAGGTCTCAGACGATAATGGACGGCTTTCTGACGGAAAAGAACCGCCGCTTCCAGCCGCAGCACGCATGGTCCACCTACAGTCAGTCAGCGGTTGCGGCATTCTGGACATCAAGTGGCGAAGCGAGGGTTTTCTTGGCCGGCGAGCAGAAGCAGACGAGCAGGAAGAAGAAATAGCAGATCTGAGGGAGCGAAGAGAGAATGTTGCTGAGCGAGGGAATTCGACTGAGCAGATGCTGCTGGCAGCAGCAACTGCTGATGGGACCGTAGATCTGTACGAGATGCAGGGAGGACCGATCGCCGCTGCACCTCCAAGCCTATCACTGTACAGCCGAATTCCTTTTCCTCCCTCCGATCCTGCCGAGCCTGACGCCAAACCTACGATGTGCCTTGCGTTGGATTGGTGGACGGCTGGGGAATCCGAGGCAGGAAGCGGGAACCGGGAGGAGCAGGAGGCAGATGCAGGGGAGAGCGGGAGCGGGGAGACTGATGAGGAGGGAGCGGGAGAGAGAAGGATAGCATGGGGTGTGAGGAGGGATCGGATCGCTGTAAGTCGGTCGGATGGATCGCTGGCGGTGGTACGGCAGGGAGAGGGTGGTGCGTGGGTGGCAGAGCACGCATGGCCAGCACACGAGTTCGAAGCATGGACATGCTGCTTTAACATCTGGAACCCTGAGGTGGGTGTGTGTATTCACCCCTTGAATGTGACATTTTGCTTGCTGCACTCCATGGTGATAGTGATTATAAGCAAAATGGTTTTGTGTCATTTTCCTTGTAACCAGATCCTCTTGCCTTCTCCTTTCACTCATTCTCCATAGTATCATTTTCCCTTTTCCTTTCAGGTGCTATACTCAGGTGGCGATGATTGTGCGATGTGTGCCTGGGACCTCCGTACACAAATTCCCTCCCCCACTTCATCCCCGCTCTCTCCATCCTCCTCGTGGCCTGCATGGCGCAACATCAAGGCACACCAAGCCGGGGTCACGTCTCTCCGCTGCTCTCCCCACTCTCCGCATCTCCTCGCATCTGGGAGTTACGATGAGTCGGTAAGATTCTGGGATGTCCGCATGCTGCTAATGCCTGTAGCTGTTTGTCAAGTTGCAACAGGCGGAGGGGTGTGGAGGATCAAGTGGCATCCGGAGGAAGCTCACCTTGTTCTGGCTGCTTGTATGCATGGAGGAGCTACAATACTCTCTCTTTTCCAAGATCATCCCAGTGCTGTGGATACTCATATTTCACTTGCAGAGGATACAAAGAGTTTATTGTGTCGGCATGAGGCTGGGAGGGTGTCATTCCAGGGTCTATGTGGAGAAGTGGTGGAGCGGTATGAGCAGCACAAGTCCATGGTCTATGGCATCGACTGGGGTTCATGCAAGAAGTCATCAGGAGGTGCAAATGCAGAAGCTGATAGTGCATGGGTTGTTGGCTCGTGCTCTTTTTACGACAAGTTGTTGCAGGTTTGGAGGCCTTGTGCCGTGTAGTGAATCTGTGATGACCCAGCTTTGTTGTGTTAGCACTGCACTGGATAGTTGTTGAAGAGGGGAAATTTCGTATGAGTTGTGTGAGAAACGATCAACTGATGGAGTAGTGTTGAGTTCACCATGGGAAAGTTCTTTTGACATAGAAAAATTACTCTATTTGTTGTGCATTCGTAACAGGCGCTACAGTTGAAATAGGCGAAAGGATTGTGCCGCTTGAGCGAACCTTCAGCATTCGTCAGCTGATCCCGTTTCCGTCAACTTTTGGCGCGGTCGTGAAACACGTTCGTTCCTCTTGAAAATAGCCGCTTCCGGTGTACTGGCAAAAACAAACCGAGCTGAACCGATTACGTTTTCCTTTCCTGCTATGCTCCCTGATTTCCATTCCCCCTACACCTTGCCTTGCATCGCCTGCCAATGCAAGCCACAACGCTTAGTCAGCTACCGATACTACTATCATGTCAGTGAAGCCATGATCTGACGATTAGTGCACGTGTCGTGGTAATTAGTCCAATCACGCTGTTCTCGAGTGACCGCTTTGTATATCAGATTCGGGAGGCTCGATCAGTTTTACATTTAGGTCAACTGCTGCTCCAGAGACACCACTAATCGTTGTGACAACACGATGTGGGGAAGGTAGCACTAGATGGCTTAAACGTACAGTAAGTTATGCATCTCCGCAGAATACCTTGTACTTATCGTTGAAACTTATTCGTCTCCTTTCAGGTTTGGAGGTGGAAAATCCGTACCTGGGAGAATAAAGCTCACCAGGGGTGAGCCTCAGCAAGCCATAAGCCCGACGAGTGCTGTGAGAGCACGGGAGGGTCCTGAAATTGATGCCGCTGAAATTCTTAGACCTTCAAACGAGGAGAGACAGGTACGGTGGTATGCTGATCGTTTTAGCTCCTAGCTTTTCACGTTATGCGTTCTTCTTATAGTGATTTTACTGTGCTTGACCAGCTAGCTTCGAAATCTAGAATACAAGAGGCGTCTCCACCAGTTGCGGAAACGGCTCCAGCCGTAGTAGAGCCGATGCCCGAGTCAAGATCCCTGGATACTGCTAGGGTTGCCAAATTCAGAAAGGAATTATCGGCTCCTGCAGTGGACCTAGGTAAATCTCGATTCAGATCAACCACACGTATGCTCTCGTTAAAGCTCTGGTCTTATCAAGCGTCGTGCCGCTTACATTCAGATGCTCTTCGGGAGCTTTCATGGAGTGGCATACCTCCCAACTTAAGACCAACTGTCTGGCGTCTTTTACTGGTGAGAAGAAGAATGTTCACATGTGGTCAATAGTGCCAGCGGAATATCTGGTCATATTGATCCTTTCAATTTTGTATGCTTTCAGGGATACGCACCGCCAAACGCGGATAGAAGAGAGACAGTTTTAGCCAGGAAACGTCAAGAGTACAGGGAGTGGGTTCCCCAGTATTATGACATTCCAAATGAAGACCGCAGTGATGATGAAATTCACACTCTTCGCCAGGTAGGCGTCTTTCAGATTTCGAATCCATAATCAACCCCACAATCCCGCCCTTTGACACCCAGTCCTCTGTACAGATATCTGTAGATTGCCCGAGAACTGTTCCAGATGTCCCCTTCTTCCAGCAAACCTTGATGCAGACAGCAATTGAGCGTGTACTCTACATTTGGTAAGTTCCTGCATGGTTCGCTGTCGTCTCGCTATTGTGAAATAGTCATTGATGTGATTGAAGTGCTCGTTTTGCAGGGCTATACGCCACCCAGCCAGTGGATATGTTCAAGGAATCAACGACCTGCTGACTCCATTCCTCACAGTGTTTCTTTCGGAGATATTTGAAGGAGACATTGATACCTGGGTGGTTTCAAAGCTTTCTGAAGATACTCTCTTGCAAGTCGAGGCAGATAGTTACTGGTGTCTGTCCAAGTTGCTTGATGGCATTCAAGACCACTATACTTTTGCACAGCCAGGCATCCAGCGCCTTGTTTTCCGCCTCAAGGAGCTTGTGAGAAGGATTGATGGTGAGGTTGTCTTCTGTTGTGGCTTGACCAACAGCCTGTATATGAACCTTTGACTCACTTTGTCGGATGCAATTTGCAGAGCCTGTCTCTCGACACATGGAAGAGCACCACTTGGAATTTCTTCAGTTCGCGTTCCGGTGGTTCAACTGCCTTCTAATCCGTGAGGTATGCCCATTTCGCTTCTCGCCACTGATAATGTGTTTGGACTTCATATTGGTCTTGATAGGCTGATCTACCTATGTAAGGCACCAATCGTCTCCCTTTTTCCCATGCATGTTTGCAGATTCCGTTCTCTATTGTGGGAAGATTGTGGGACACATATCTTTCAGAGGGTGATGGTTTTGCAGAGTTCTTGGTTTACCTATGTGCAAGTTTCCTGCTCACCGTAAGTTTGCAATGCAATGTGCATTGCTATCTCTCGCGTTGATTTGTTGGTGTGTTACCATTGCTGAAGTAGTCTGGCTTCTTGTTTGCAGTGGTCAGAACAACTTCAACAGATGGACTTCCAGGAAATGGTATTGTTCTTGCAACATGTGCCAACAAAGAGGTGGAGTGAAAAGGAGCTTGACATGGTGCTGTCACGAGCCTTCATGTGGAGAGTCATGTTCAACCGTTCACCTAGACACTTAAATTCGTCATGATGGATTCTGTAACTGGAGTTGTCATTATTTCTTTGAATACATAGATATACTGCTGTAGGTTTTGTAGTTAGATATACGTCATAAAATCTTTTGTGAGATGGTCATAGGCGTAGCAGCTAAATGGTGTATTGCAACAGCCCAGTTCTGCACTGCAACCCTCAGATCTGAGTGCGAGGCAATAGATCGCGGGACATAACTTGAGCATTTGAATGAACACCAGACCAGATCTCTCATCGCGCACTAGTACTGGGGGTTTGTATCTCACAACACTCCGCTAGGTTTCCTAAGAGATTTTCCGTTCCTGCAAGGGTTTGTTCTGTTTTTTGCGTTCTCGCCGTCCACACGCTGACACCTTATCTTTACGGTACTATCTTCACAGTACTCCCTGATGGCTGAGACCAAGGAAACCTATCAGGAGGAAGAGCTCGTAGACTTCGAAGAGGAAGAAGAAGCCGCTCCCGATGCCGGAGCTGCCAAAACGACAGAAGCAGCTAGGAAGTAAGCTGGGCGTTGTTGGTCTTTTCGAAAGCTGGTCCTGGAATCAATTTAGAAATCTGAGTTTATCCGTTACGACGTACTTTGCGCAGGGGATATGTGGGGATTCATAGCTCAGGTTTCCGTGACTTCCTTCTCAAGCCCGAGCTGCTTCGCGCTATTGTGGACTGTGGTTTTGAACACCCATCAGAAGGTGCATACATTCGCTGAAGCATGTCGAGTGTGTTATATTTTCACATGCCGGAGGTAGATTCTGAATTATTTCGCTGTTTTTTTTGCAGTGCAACATGAGTGCATTCCCCAAGCCATTCTTGGCATGGATGTGATCTGCCAAGCCAAGTCTGGTATGGGGAAGACAGCTGTGTTTGTGCTGGCAACGCTTCAGCAGATCGAACCAGTAGCTGGGGAGGTGTCGGCGCTGGTCCTCTGCCACACCCGTGAACTCGCATACCAGGTGCGCTCGTGGTCTTCATAACAGCTTTAATGTAGCCCCCCATAAGATCTAGGTGGGATTCTGACCAATTCCATGTTGCTGCAGATCTGTAACGAGGTTCAGAGGTTTACCACATACCTTCCGGATGTCAAAGTCGCAGTCTTCTACGGTGGCGTGGCGATCAAGACACACAAGGATATGCTCAAGAACGAATGCCCGCACATTGTCGTCGGAACGCCCGGTCGTATTCTCGATCTTGCTCGGCAGAAGGATCTGAACTTAAAGCATGTTCGCCACTTCATTCTCGATGAATGCGACAAGATGCTGGAGTCGCTTGGTAAGTCTTTCTCTGGCGTGCGTTACTTTTGTTCGCATTTTATTTTTGCGAGTGTACTGACTGGTCGTTTCTTTGATGTAACAGATATGCGGAGGGATGTTCAGGAGATCTTCAAGCTTACTCCTCACGACAAACAGGTCATGATGTTTTCCGCGACGCTCAGCAAGGAGATTCGCCCCGTCTGCAAGAAGTTTATGACCGATGTAAATATCCCCGATGCACTCGACCTCTGTAGCCCAGGACATCATCTCCAGTCGCTGTGTCAGCAGCTGTGCTCATCATCTCCAGCCTAGCGGGATCAGCTTAGAACCATGGGTTATTCGATATTAGGTTGGGAACTGGAGCGGGTCAGAAGTTTCTGAGGAGTGGGTCAGAAGTATCTGAGGAGTGGGTTATCGCGTGAGAGATGTGCTAGAGGGTGTGGAGGCTTATGGCTGGAGAGTCTTTAGTACTGGAGAGGATTTGGGGGTGGTGAAGGGAGGAGGCCGTTGAGGGACTGATTGGTTTGCGGATTCGAGGTGGAACTGCTTCTGGTTGAGGTCGGACCCAGCTTCCAGCCGTTGGTGCGGATAATTGAGTGCTGGGCCGCGTCGGAGTCGCGTGCTCTGAAGGCATCAATTACTCACGCGGAAAGCCATCTGAGCCCCTCGATTGACAATGGGTACCGCAACCCTGGTTCCGATTCTTCGTATCTCGCTGTTTAACTCTAAAATTGCGGGAACGACTGTGTAGTATCTTCAATGCGTGCATGCTTTCCATTTTTTTAGGTTGATCCAGTGCGGTTCCTTCACATGCTCTGGTGCAGAGCAGGAGCAGTATCAGCAACCATGGCATTTCCGTATCATTCTTATTCCTCCCTTTGTTTGTGCTGTGTACAGCCGATGGAGATCTACGTTGATGACGAAACGAAGCTGACACTTCATGGACTTGTTCAGGTTGGTACAGCCGTTTCCTTCCTCCGCTTCTCATATTTGGATGCGTCTCTTTTACTTACGGCCTGTTCATTTTACACCCTGCAGCACTATATTCAATTGAAGGAGAACGAGAAGAACAGAAAGCTGAACGACCTTCTTGATGCTCTTGACTTCAATCAAGTCGTCATCTTTGTCAAATCAGTGAACCGCGCTGCTCAGCTGAACAAGCTCTTGGTGGAATGCAATTTCCCCGCTATTAGCATTCATTCTCAGATGACACAGGAGGAGAGGTAAGCTTGTTGGTTAAGTCTATTGCAATTGTCTTTCTGCAGCTTGTTGCTTAGTCAGTTGGTTTGTTTTGCAGGCTGACCCGCTACAAGGCATTCAAGGAGGGACACAAGCGCATTCTGGTGGCAACAGATCTTGTGGGTCGTGGCATTGACATTGAGCGAGTCAATATCGTCATCAACTACGACATGCCTGAAAATGCAGACACTTATCTTCATCGGGTATGTTGAAACCTAGAATGGATGTTGCAGTATGCATGAAAGCAGTTGGATGTGTTTCTTGATGTGTTTGGGACCTGCATTGTTTCAGGTTGGCCGTGCTGGTCGTTTTGGTACAAAGGGTCTAGCTATCACTTTTGTGAGCTCGGAGGAGGATTCGAAGAAGCTGGATCAGGTTTGTGTTTGCAGTTCTTGATGGCATCAATTTTTGTGCTATGTTGCTTGGTTGCTACGTGACAATGCTAACTCTACTGGTTGGCACTGTATTTGCAGGTTCAGTCACGGTTTGAAGTTGACATCAAGGCCTTGCCAGAGCAGATTGACACATCTACGTACAGTAAGTTCCCCTTGTGCCAGGCTGGTATTTAAATTTATATTGCTTTGCGAAGGTGAAAGATACTAAGTCTGTCCTTCTCTGCCGTTTTGCAGTGCCTTCTTAGATACATCGTGTGGGCATTTTTACAGAAAAGGACTAGCAGCGATCTCATGTGTTTTTACATGCCACTTGGGATGTAGCCAGTCAATGTGAAATTGAATTTTCGTGATACTGTATGTTTTGTTACGATTTGACCTAATTTTCGAAGCATGTTGCTAGGGGGTCTACATATGTTTTCACGTTAAAACATATTCAATTTACCTACTCGCAATGGTCGCCAGTTTTGAAATTGGCCGAGCCGGGACACGCGCAAAAAATCAAAACCGCATCACACTACACCTGATTTATGCACTAACGCGCCGAATAACTGCAATTCTGTGGGAAGACCAATCGGTATAACGAGAAGAGAACAGCAGCGCCTGCGAATTCAGGCCGTGGTCCCTAGCATCCCTTTCTTCTCAAATATCGCCTCCCCTTGTGCAAACCGCCATCTTCTGCCAGGATTCGAAATCTGCAGTTGTAACCCACGCCGCACCCAGCTTTCTCTCGCGCTCCGGTGCTTTTCAACAGCAACTCGACCATGTCGGCCGTCACCATTCGAGTGGCGCTAGGAGAAGAGACACTATGAAAGCTTCAGATTCCTTCCTAATACGATCATGATCCAACATTACCCAACTTGTGAGAGTTGAACGACAAGAGCTGACCTCCGAGACCATGTCTTCCGGAAAAGCGTCTCCCCTTGTTCTTGTGTTGCTGCTATTCGCAGCGAGCACTTACTTTAACGTAGCGCGAGCGCAGTCTAACGGCGATGGGTCCTTATCTCCGGGGCTGAACGCAAACGCCAGTCTCATCGACTGCGGATGCAGTCCTTACGCCCCACCCGTCTGTGGCTCCGACTATGTCACTTATTCCTCCTACTGCCAGGCGGTGTGCAACAACGTCAGGATCTTGTCCCGAGGAGCCTGCACCCGCTCCATAATTTGCAATCGCGCGTGCCTTAACCGAGCAGGAATGGCTCCTGATTCAACTCTCGGGATCAACAACCTGGATACCACGTGCGGGGCAGTTTGCCCGTTTCCCGAGCTTCCTGGGAGTGTTTCGTTCAATTGCCCTGATAGGTACCGATCTGCGTGCAACCAGGCGTGCATGCAGACTGCAACGACTATATTAAGAAACGGAGGGAAGTACCTGACTGCTTATAACACGTGCAGGTCCGGATGCTTGTATTCACGCTGTGGCATCTGGAAGTAGCTGCTTTGTGTAAAACATACAGGTTCTGCATGGTGGCTATAAGCTTCTTCACCCTCGACTCTGTCTTCAGCTTCTTTGTGAGAACAAAAATAAGAAGCATGCGGCGGGTCATATGGCTGGCAGGTTCTGCATACCGTATCTATCAACTTGTTCAGCTTCTTCATCCTAGCAATCTTGTGTGGACGAATAATTACTGTCTGGGTCCTGGCAGGCGTGCACAAGGATCCCATGCTCCTGTTATTCCTACTATGGAGATGTTATCTACTTATCATGGTTTGTTTGTGGTGGGTTGTAACGATTTCAAAGGCAGCAGCTCGTTGTACGGTAACCTCCGTCATCCCATACTGGTTCCTGCTTCCAGTTGCCACATTACTGCAATGAGGCATTTCATACGATGAGCCATGGTCCATGTTGAAATTTCCACTCCACACCACAGCCACTACCATTCACTCTCGAGAAGCAAGGAATGCCGATACCTGCAGAAAACTGGTTTTCACAAACTACGATTACCACACCACAGTCATGTTATTTTGACTGAGAGCATTTGGTGACAAGCTGTCCCATCGACCAGCCTACGACAGGTCACATCTTATCGTACATCTGAAATAGTGCGGTGCAGTAGGTACCTGTATTTACAGAAGCTACGGTACCTTCTCATCCACGGGATTCCTGGTACTGTAACACCTGCCACAAGAAGTTGGTGCCCGGGCTGTATTCAACTATCAACAGTAATATCTTACAGCAACCTCATGCTACAGTCCAACTACTGTATTTCCTTACACCATACTACCCATCTTTTCCACCCACCCCACCACCAGAAACCCCGACCGGTTGCCTCCCCTTCCCTCTCCCTCCACCCCTCCCTCTCCCCTCGCTTCCCCTTCCCAACCCTCTTCTCCCCCCTGCATTCCCCTCCTTCCCTCCTGCCTTTCCACCTCTTCCCTCCCCCCCCCTTCCCCTCTTTCCCTCCCCAAGCTCCTCTGCTCCTCTCATTTCCTCTCCTCCTGCCGTTCCCCCTTCCCCAGCACCACCCTCCATGCAAACCCCCTCACTCTCTCCCATCATCCCTCCCCTCCTCCCCCCTCTCCCCCTCCCCTTCCCCCTCCCTCTCCCACTCTTTCCACCTATCTCAGACTCACCCAGCCTCCTCCCCAACCCTCCATTCTCTTCAGGTGCCCGTTCTGCTGCCCCTCTTGTCTTCTCCTGGTGTTTCAAAACATTCTCATCTCGAGCTGCCCGTCTCTTTCTCGACCCCATGGAGATATTTTCTTCCTGGTCTGCCCGCCTCTTTCTCAGCCATTCCGATACAAGTGATGCATTAGCCACTGCAGAAGATTCAGCAACAGCACCAGCACCAGCATAACCGTTGCTAACACCATCTGCACCGCAACCAACCGCACTGTTGCCTATATCAGAGCCATCCAAACCATTTGCATGCGACCCTCTCCTGCCCCCAGCCACTCCCAAGCCTCCTCTACTGAATCTAGATCGGCGCACCGGTTTACTGCTCCGAGCCTTCCTCACCCAGGCCTGAGCTCCATGTAACATTGCATTCCTAGCCTCTGGCCCAGTCCCAATTCTAACCTCTGGTCTATTTCCGTTCCTAATCTCCGGCCCATTCTCATCCCCCCTTCCATCTCCAGCCACACAAGAAACCGCCCCCGGACTGGAGCTTTGAAACGTCCCATTCCTTGCCTCTGACCCGTTCTCAACCCTAGCCTCTGGCCCATTCCCATTCCCATTCCCATTCCCATTCCCATTCCCATTCCCAGCACCTGGACCATTCTCATCCCCCCTTCGATCTCTACCCACACAAGAAACAGCCTCCAGGGCAGAGCTTTGAAACGTCCCGTTCCTCCCCCCTGACCCGATTTCAACCCTTGCCTCTGGGTTCGAGCTTTGAAGCTCCCCGTTCCCAGCCTCCGACCCAGTTTGAACCCTAGCCTCTAGGTCAGAGATTTGAGACGACTCATAACCAGGATGAAGGCCGTGCCGTTCGGAGCCTTGGACCAGTATCTCCCCACGAAAGTTCTTATCTGCCCGGCCTCCTCCTCTTCCACCAACCTCCTCCACTCTCACTTCAATTCCCTGCCCCCCTTGCTCTTCTCCCTCCTGCCTTCGCTCAGCTCCTCCTCCTCCTCCTCCTCCTCCTCCTCCTCCTCCTCCTCCTCCTCCTCCTCCTCCTCCTCCTCCTCCTCCTCCTCCTCCTCCTCCTCCTCCTCCTCCTCCTCCTCCTCCTCCTCCTCCACCCCTGAATCCCCCATTCAGATCTCCCAGCCCACTCCTGCCCTCTTCATCCTCTCCTCTCTCCTCTTGCTCCTCCCCTCCTTCCTGTCTCCCTCTCTCCTCTTGCTCCTCTCCTTCTTCCACCCGATTCAATAGCCTCTGTGACACATTTATTCCCTCCTCCTCCACATCACCTGTCACTGATCCCTCCTCTTGCCCTACCACACCACGAATGCTTCTCTTTCTTCCCCTTTTGGCAGGTCTTGAAAGAGTCTCTTGCCCCTCCACATCTTCTCCTCGCTTCTTTCTTCCCCGTTTAAGGCTTCTCACGGGTGACTCTTGCCCTTCCCTGTCAATTTCTCTTCCCACTCCTCCCCTTCTCGCTTTCCTGCCTCCCTTTCTTTTCCCCCCTTTCACGCCTTCTCCCCTTTTCACTCCTTCTCTCCTGCTGACATCCTCTTCCTCACCTCTCACGCCCTCTTCCCCATTCACACCTTCATTCTCCATCACACCTTCTCCCTCCCTCTCACCTTCTCCCTCCCTCACATCTCCTCCCTCCCTCACACCTCCCTCCCTCACACCTTCCCCAACTCCCAGTCCTCCTCTCCCTCCCATTCCTCCCTCGCTCCCTCCTTCTCCCCCAGCCTCTCCTCCATACCCAACTGGTAACCCTCCCCCACGAATCCAATGCAACCGCACCATCTGCTGAAGATTCCGAGCTTGAGCCTCGGTCCGAGCCTGTTTGGTCCGGCGCACGAGCCTCCTGCGTGCTGCTGCCCGAACCTGATCGGTCCAGGGCCGGTCTACGATGCTCCAGCCAATGGGAAGAAAGGGAGGTGGTAACCGTTGTGGTGGATGTAACAGCGAGGGATGTAACACGGAGGGGTGTAGCAAGGGAGGCCGTACGAAGTGCGGTTGGTGTGGAAAAGAGGGGGGGAAGAGGAACGGTGGCGGGGGAAAAGGAGGAGGGAGAGAGGGGTTGAAGAGAAGAGGACGGGATGAAGGGGGGTGGAGGGACGAGGGGCTAGCAGCAGGTGCTGCAGCAGGAACAGTAGCAGGAGGAGCAGAAGAGGGAGAGCTTGGGAGCATCCCTGCTTCTTCTCCTCCTCCTCCTTCTCCTACTTCTCCTTCTCCCTCTCCTCCTACTCCTCCTCCTCCTTCTCCTTCTCCCTCTTCTCCTCCTACTCCCTTACTCCCATCCCCTGCCTTTTCAGAACCTTCCTCCTTCCCCTTCTCCACCATATCCTCCCCATTTCCCCCCTCTGCCCCGGCTTTGTTCCCCTTGGCCTTCCCCCCTTCCGCCTTTACCCCTTTACTCTTCTTCCCCCTCCCCCTGGAATCCCCCGGTGCTCTCAGGAATCGACGTCGAGGGGGAGGAGGGGGAGGTGGGGAAGAGGGGAACGGGAGAGACGCAGCAGTAGCAGGGGGGGTTGGAGCAGGGGGGGAAGGAGCAGGGGGGGTTGGAGCAGGGGGGGTTGGAGCAGGGGGAGCAGTAGCATGGGGAGCAGGAGCAAGGGGAGCAGGGGGAGCAGGGGGAGCAGGAGGAGCAGCAGAAGCAAAGGGGGCAGGAGCAGGGGGAGGGTCAGAGCGAGCAGGGGGAGGGTCAGAGCGAGCAGGGGAATAAGGAGCAGGGAGGGGATTAGTAAGAGTAGCAGAGAGGGACGGAGCAGCAGGAGCAGGGGCAGGGTTCGTAGGAGAAGCAGGTAAACTGGCAGGAGCGGGGGCAGCAGAAGCTGCAGGAGAAGCACCCGATGCAATCGGCGGCGCTGTTCTTGCTACTGGTGCTGAAAGTGGCGTTGTGGGTGCTGACTGTAGTGCTGTGGGTACTGGTGGTGGTGCTATTGGTGCTGTTGGTGCTCCTGACACGGTTGCTGCGACCTGCGTTGGTGCTGGTAACAGCAATCCGTCAATTCCTTCTGCACCTGCACTGCCACCAGCAGTAACAGAAGCAGAAGCACCACCAATACTACCACTTGCTCCTGCATTTATATTTGATGGTGGTGTGAATATAATCGCTGGTGGTGTGACTATATGCGGTGGTGGTGTGACTATATCCGGTGGTGCCGTTCCTGCAATTGATGCTGTGACTGCATGAGGAGATGCTATTGCATGTGCAGGCGTGACTCCCCCTGTTGCCGCCACACCACTCAGCACTCCATCTGCCTCCTCTGCTGCATTTGGTGGTGGCGTGGGGACTAAATGTGGCGGTGCCGTTGCTGCATGTGCTGGTGTGACTGCACTTGCTGGTGTGGCTCCCCCTGTTGCCGCCACACCATGCAGCGATCCATCTGCCTCCTTTGCTGCATCTCCTAGCCTCCCTCTCTTCTGCCTCTCTCCTTTTCGATGCATCTTGAGCCACTGCCTGCAGCGTTGCAGCATGCATCAAGTCAGCAATCCCACAAATGCCACAAATCCCACAATTGCCACAAATGCCACAATTGCCACAAATGCCACGGGAGAACAGTGATCGTGGGAAAGAGGTGACTTTTGAGTCGACTCAGAAGTCACCTAGTTGCAGCGTAGCAGCATCAAGTCAGCAATTCCACAAATGCCACGAATGCAGGAAAACAGTGATCGTGGGAAAGTAGATGTAAACAAAATGCACCTCGCACGGTCTTCTGATTCGACTTTTTACAGACGCAGCCTTTGAATTGGAAAAAAAACAAAAAAAGAGCAGCAGACAGCAGATTATCACATTGCACTTCTTTGATCTCGAGTTAGTTTCCCTACCTCTTGCACTGGCAGTCCGTTCTAGGCCAGCAAGCAACAGCCACACTGTCAGGTGCTCCAGTCTGTACCCTTTTCAAGATGCCTCAGTATAAAAAGAACCACTTTTGTTTCTTACCTCTTGCACTGGCAGTCCGTTCTGGGCCAGCAAGCAACAGCCACGTTCGTCCAATTCCCCACGCCGAACCTCCCCACAGCCTCCTCCAGCCGCCGAACCTCCTCGCCAGACCACGGCCCGAACCTCAGGTTCGGGTCGAGCACGTTGCACCAGCGCTCCCGAACCTGCACCTCGGTGCGGTTCGGCACCAGGGCTGCGATTCTCCTCCAATGGGGCGTGCCGAAGACTCCCACAGCCAATCGCAGCCTGTCGTTCTCCTCGGGGGTCCACGCTGCTCTGCTGACGTGGCGCAGATGATGCTGCCAGCTGGACAAAGAGGATAAGGATAATGATACCAGAGGAAGGAGGCAAGGTGCGGACTCACATCAAACAAGGGATGTGGACGTGCCACTCACCTCCTTGCAGCCACTCACCTCCTTGCAGCCACTCACCTCCTTACAGCCACTCACCGCTGCAAGCACTCTCTGCCGCTCTGCCCTTCCACCGCCAGCACCACTGCCGCCCAGTTCACCTCCCCGTGCCCCTTTGAATTTACTCAACCATACTACGTACCATAACATTTCCCCTCCTCACACCCACTCACCGCTGCAAGCACTCCCTGCCGCTCCGCCCTTCCACAGCCAGCGCCACCGCCGCCCAGTTCACCTCCCCATGCCGCCTCACTGCCGCCGCCAGCTGTCTGTCCTCTTCTGCCGACCAATGGCGTCGCGCCACGTGGGGGTTCCACCACTTCTGGTACCCCATCAGACACTGTAGCGCAGTCCTCCTCCTCCTCTTCCCCCCCTTCTCACTCCCCTTCCCTTCCCCTCCTCCTCTCCCTCCTCCTCCCCCTCCTCTCTGCCTTCCTACCCCTTGTCCACCTGCCCTTCTCTCCCCATCATTCTCCCTTCCCACACCCTCTCCTCCCTCCTCCCACTCCACGTCCTCTCCCTCCTCCTCCTCCCTCACTCTCCGGTTTACCTCCTTTGCAATCCCCTCCCACCCACACAGCCCTCTGCTCTCCGCCACCTCCTTCAGAATCTCCTCCTCCCTCTCGCTCCACTCGCCCCACGTTATGCTCGGGTCGTCCACATTCAACCACCTGAAACGCAACAGAACGACTCAAATGGGTATGAACCGCACTGAACCACTCCTTTCATGATTCATTCCCCAACCGGCGTAGTCTCTTCCCTCTTGTTCCACTCTCCCCACGTTATGCTGGAGTCGTCCACGTTCAACCACCTGAAACGCAAGGGAAACACTCAAACCGGTTTGAACCGCACTAAACCACTCCGTTCACCCTTCCACCCACACAAACCGCTACCCTCCGGCACCTCCTTGGCGTATTCTTCATCGATGTCCTGGTGCTGTACTGAATTCACCTGACTGTTCTTCACCGCACTCAACACCCTTCAATTACCTCAGCTTCAATCTAAACCTACCACTTCCTTAGACCAAACCCCCTCACCGGATTCCAACTTAACCTAACCAACCGCAATTTACCGCACTCAGCCCCCCTCGTTACCTCAATTTGCACTCGAGTGCAGTACGCCTGAGGTGCACCCCCCTTCCAAGGCTCCTATTGGCCGGATTCACAAACGCAGCTGCTACTGTCGACCAATCAACTCGTGCCACGGCAGCATGCATGGCCTCTGGTGCGAGCTGGCGCGATTTGATCTCTGCTATGGTTCGCTGGAGTAGAGACCTGGCAGGAAAGAGTATTGGGGAGTGGAAGAATAAAGGGGAGTGAGGAGAGGGCAGCACACGGTGTGAGCTGGCGAGATTTGACCCCCCTACGGTGACACTGGAGGAAGGACCTGGAATCAGGGGGGGCAAAATGGGAAAAGGCGATCAATTGGGAGTTGGGTGTTGGTGTGGGTGTGGGTAGCATGCACTGGACGATGCATTGAGGAGTGGGTGTCGGTGTTGGTGTGAGAGGGCAGGGTTCGATTCCTGCTACAGTGCGCTGGATGACGTTTGAGTCGACTCAGAAGATTCCTGCTGCGGTGAGCTGGATGGCGCCACCTGGGGTTGGTGATTGCCCCTCACTCACCGCCTCTCTACCTAAGTCACACCCTCACTCACACGCTCACTCACACACACGCCCACTCACCTATCCAGAGTGATCTCTGGACGTTCTTTCACGGCCTCTTCAATCAACCCCTGCACCACCTGCTGCTCCACCCCCTCCCATTGACTGGTACTCTCACTTACTCGGAACCTCCCTCTCCCAACCCCTCACATGCACGTGCATTCATCCACTCACCTATCCAGAGTGATCTCCGGTCGTTCCCTCACCGCCTCCTCACTCACATGCTCACACGCCTTGTCATTCACACATGCACCGCAACATTCACCCGCTCACCTATCCAGAGTGATCTCCGGTCGTTCCCTCACCGCCTCCTCACTCACATGCTCACACGCCTTGTCATTCACACATGCACCGCAACATTCATCCACTCACCTATCCAGAGTGATCTCCGGTCGTTCCCTCACCGCCTCCTCACTCACATGCTCACACGCCTTGTCATTCACACATGCACCGCAACATTCACCCGCTCACCTATCCAGAGTGATCTCCGGTCGTTCCCTCACCGCCTCTTCAATCATCCCCTGCACCACCTGCTGCTCCACCCCCTCCCGCAACGCCCCATCCTCATTCACACGCTCCCACACTCAGACACTCACTCACCTATCCAGGGTAATTTCCGGTCGTTCTTTCACGGCCTCCTCAATCATCCCCTGCACCACCTGCTGCTCCACCCCCTCCCTCAACGCACCCACCTCGCCCTTCCCCCACTTCCTCCCGCGAAACACCAGCGGCATCACCCCTCTCAACCGCTCAAACACCCCTTGGTCCTCATTCACAGGCATATCCCTTGAGGAAGCTTCCAGGTTGCTGCGATCATGGGGATCCGGGTCGAATCCAAGAGAAGAGTACTTGTGTTTTCTCCCGCGCTTCTGTCTCGGCTTGGCCCAGTTCACCAGAAGCATCTCGGCTGCATGCCCCCCGTAGATGCGACCCCCCCCCTCGCCTCCCCCTCCCCCTGCCGTACCCCATACTCCTGCTCCTCCTCCTCCTGCTCCTCCTGCTCCCCCTCCTGCTGCTCCTACTGCTGCTGCTCCTGCTGCTGCTGCTCCTTCTCCTGCTCCTGCTTCGTCTCTTATCCCCCACCCTGCCCCTCCCCCCAAGCCTCCGATCACTCTTCTAGCAGCTTTCCTCGCCCGAGTCTCGAACCCAGCCACGGTTCTGACGCGCCGAAGCAGCTCCCGAGCCTGTCCCTCCCGAGCCTCCACGGCCGCTAGCAAATCGTGAAGAGCCAGCTGGCACCGACGGTTGGCCTGCAGAGCGATTCTAACTGCTGCCACGTCAGCAGAGGAGAGAAAGGAAGGATCGGCAGGAGGTTCTGAAGCAGTTGCCGCACGAAAGCCAGCAGGTTCGGTGGCCGCAGCCAGAGCTTCATCACCAGTAGCAGGTTCGGCGACCGCAGGAGGTTCGGAAGTAGGCTCGGAACTATGAGAACCACCTGTCCCATAACCTCCAGCTGCACCATCACTCTGTTCACCCAGGCCAGCTTCTGTTGTTTTCTCCTGGCCTTTCTCCTGAACATCTGGTGCCTCCTGACCATCCACCTGACTGGGAACTTCTCCTCCAGGTGGTGCACACAGCAGCAGTGGTATCCCCTCTGATGCGGCTTCCCCACCTACTTCTGCAGCTGCTCCCCCTTCTCCTGGGGTTACCACCACGTCTTCTTCTGGAACTACCACTGAGCCTTCAACTAGGGTTACCACCACCCCATCAGCTGGGACTGGCACTATCGCCCCTGATGCGGCTTCCCCACCCACTTCTGCAACTGCTGCCCCTAGTGCTGCTGGGGTTACCATCAATCCTTCACCTGGGGTTGCCACTAACGCCCCCCGCACTGATACAGCATCCCCTGCTCCTGCTGCTGCCGCTGCGCCTCCTTCCTGTGCTGGAGTTACCACCATCACTTCTCCTGGGGTTACCACCAACTCTTCTGCTGGAACCACCACTGACCCTTCACCTGCGGTTACCACGAGCGCTTCTCCTGCTAGTATTATAGCTTGCTCAGGCGCTACTCCCACTGGCGCTGCTGGTAACTGCACTTCCACCGGCGCTGTTGTCCCTGCTACTGCGGTTACCACGAGCGCTTCTCCTGATAGTACCATAGCACTATCGCTGGCACGAGCACGAGCTTGCTCAGGTGGTGCTCCCACCGGCACTGCCGTTGCCGGCACTTCCACTAGTGCTGTCGCCCCTGCTACCACTGGTGTCACCACCGAATCGTCTGCAGCGGTTACCACCAGCGCTTCTCCTGATATTACCATAGCTTGTTCAGGCAGCTGTTCAGGCGCTACTCCCATTGGCACTGCTCGTGGCTGTGCTTCCACTGGTGCTGCTGTTCCTGCTACTGGGGTTATCACCGTATCGTCTGCAGCACGGGTTACCACGAGCGCTTCTCCTGATACTACCATAGCTTGCTCAGGCAGTGCTCCCTCTGGCGCTGCTGGTAACTGCACTTCCACTGGTGCTGTCATCCCTGCCGTTACCAAAACTTTTCCAGGAGTTATCACAGACCCTTCAGCTGCGGTTACCACCATCGCTTCTCCTGATGTTACCATAGCTTGTTCAGGCAGTGCTCCCTCTGGCGCTGCTGGTGGCGGTGCTTCCAGTGCTGTCGCCCCTGCTACCACTGGGTTACCATCGAATCTTCTGCTGCGGTTACCACCAACGTTTCTCCCGAGATTACTAAAGCTAGTTCAGGTGGAGCTGTCAATGCTTCTCTCTCCCCTGCCTCCTCCTCTGCTGTCTCCTCTGCCCCCTCCTCTACCCCCACCTCTGCCCCCACTACTGCCCCTGTACCATCTGCCGCTCCTTGCAATTGCTTCTCCCCCCCAACCGCCATACATGCTTGTGCTGCTGCACCATCACCGGTAGCAGCATCAGCCTCATCTCCAATAGCAGCAGCCAAAGGAGCAACAGCAGCGGGAGGAGCAACAGCAGCGGGAGGAGGAGCAGCAGCAGCAGCAGCAGCAGCAGCAGCAGCAGCAGCAGCAGCAGCAGCAGCAGCAGCAGCAGCAGCAGCAGCAGGGGAGGCTAAGGCAGAAGCGAAAGGCTCTTGGATGGACTCAGCAGCAGGAGCAGGAAGCGCAAGGGTGGGAGCAAAGGGAACTAGACTCCACTCAGCAGCAGAGGCAGAGACAGAGGCAGAGGCAGATGCATGGGTGGAAGCAATAGGAACTAGACTCAACTCAGCAGCAGCAGGAGGAGGCGCAATTGCTGATGCCACCTTTCTGGAGGAAGGTGGGAGGAAGCTTCCAATAACTCCCAGCTGCCGTTCCAGCTGCCTCCGAGCCTCTGCAAGCTTCTGCAGCTCTCGCAGCTGTGCCACGTCAGCACGAGGCAATGACATATCAGCATGCGGCAATGCCACATCAGCATCACTCATAGCCACGATTCCTCCCCACTCTCTTCCCTCTTCATCCTCACCCCAACCCCCCATCCACTCATCACCACCACCACCATCACCATAACCAGCCGTAACCACTGCCTGGGCAACTGAAACCCTCCCACCACCACTGCTTCCAATTCTCCTTCCCTCCTTCCCCTCCTCTCCCTCCTTCCCCTCCTCTCCCTCCTTCTCCCCCTTCTTCCCCTTCTCCCCCCTCCCCTCCTTCCCCCCTTTCCCCTCCTTCCCGTCTTTCCCTTCCTTCCGCAGCAGCAGCAGCAGCAGTCAGACGCTGGCGGCCTACACCCATATTCTCCCCTTTTTTCCCTACACCCATATTCTCCCCTTTTTTCCCTACACCCATATTCTCCCCTTTTTTCCCTACACCCACAACCCCTCTACCTCCTTTACCCCCCTCCAAGCCTTCCCCACCCCCTCCCTTCCCCCTGCCCCTACCCCTTGCCCCTTCCATCCCCCCTCCCTTCCCCTCAGTTCCTCTCCCCCCTCTTCCCCGCCCCCGTCCCCTACCCCTTCCGCCCTCTTGCCCCTCCTCTCTGCCACCCTCCCCTCTCTCTCCTCCCTCTCCCTCACCACCAAAAGTTGTCGCCCTCCCCCTTCCTCTACCTCTGCCCCTCCCTCCTCTTGATTGTTGAGCCCCCATCTCTCCCCCACCCTCCACCTCTGCCCCAACTCCTGCCTCCCCCCCACTCCGCCCTCTTCCCCTCCCCCTGCTACCCCTTCCACCACCTCTTCCTCCTTTCACTCCCCTCCCCTCAATCTCCTCGCTTAGCTCACTAACCTCCCTCCGCCCCTTATCCCCCTTCCTTTCTCCTCCTGCTACTTCTCCGCCCTCTATCCCTCGCACCCCTGCCTTTCTTGCCCCTTTCTCTCCCCTTTCTCCCCCTGTTCCCCCCTTCTCTCTCGCCCGCCTCCCCCCCCCCTCTCGCCCTCCCAGCAGCCCTTCAATCTCCTCCAACAGCCAATCATCGCCCTCACCCTCTCTCCCTCCCCTCGCCTTCTTCCCCACACCTCCACCTGTCCTCCCTCCCCTCCCCCTCTTCTCCCCCCCACCCCCGGCTGCTCCCACCCCCCTCCCACTCGTCTCCCGATCCCCATCAGCCTGGGTCGCCATAAAAGGAGAACTCTTGGCAGACCCACCCACCTGCTGCTGCACCTGCGGGTAGCTCCTGGTCGACCCCCCCTGCTGCACGGACAGGGTGCAGATCTGCCGCTGCCCCTCACCCTGCCGCCCAGAGGCTGCTTGGGATGGCGATGGCGCAGTGAAAGGGTAACCTGCTCCCCTCTTGGCAGACCCACCCACCTGCTGCACGGACAGGCTGCAGATCTGCCGAGCAAACTCCAACAATGCCTCGTCCTCCTCTATCTCCTCCCCTCTCTCCTCCTCCCGAACTTCCTCCTCTTCCTCCTCTTCTTCCTCTGAGTACTCCTCTTCCTCCTCCTCGGCCTCTGTTTCTAATGCCTCCTCTTCCGCTTCCGCTGCTTCCGCCTCATACCATCCCCTCACACCACTAACTCCTTTCACAGCCGTTCCCTTGCCTCTTTCCTTCACAAGACCCACCCCACCGCCCACAACTCCTCTCCCCCGCCCCCTCCCTCGCCCTCTTCCGCCCTCTGCTGCTTTCCCCCTCCCTCTCTCCACCCCTCGCCCCCTCCCTCTCTCTGCCCTTCCGCCCCGGCTGCTGCCCCTACCCACGCCGCTCCCCGCCCCTCTCCTCCCTCCACCTCCACCCCCCTCTCGTCCTTCCCCAAAACCCTCTGCGTCACCCCCTTACCTCGCGCTCTCCCTCCCCTCCCACCTCTCGACTGCGTTCCCTTCACAGTCTCCTCTCTTGCCGCCTCATGCATGTGCGTTCCTGCTATTGGCGCAAATGACAACGCTTGCACCTCACTTGGCGCCTGTATCTCACTTGGCGCCCGTATCTCACTTGCCGCCCGTATCTCACTTGCCGTCCGTATCTCACTTGCCGCCCGGCTTGCCATCCGCACCTCATCTGCCGCCCACTCCTGGTCCGAATGCACGCTTGCTGCTCGCCGTGCACCTGCTCTTGCCGCCTCCTCAGTCTGCGTTGCTGACGTGGCATGTACTGTCAACGTGGCAGGCACTTCTGGTGTGGCAGGCAGTGCTGACGTGGCAGGCTCTGATGACGTGGCAGGCTTCACGACCATCATCTGACGCACCAATTGGAGCAATCTGTCATCCTCATCCTCCTCGTTATCCTCTCCTTCATCCTCCTCTCTTTCATCTTCCTCTTCTTCTTCCTCTTCCTCCTCCTCATCTACCATACATGCCCTTTCCACATGCCGCCCTCCCCTCTCACTCATCTCCTCGCTTCCCTCCTCCTCCTCGTTTTTCCTCCTCCTCCTCTGTATCTTCGTCCTCCTCCATTACATCACCACTCACCCCGCCTTCAGCAAGCGCATCTCGCGTCTCTGTGAGTGTGACTCTAACGGGAGGTCTCTCTGCAACGGGAGAACGTCTCTCTGCAAAAAGGGCGCGCCGAATTCGCTCTGAACGGCCGCAAGAAGCGCCTCGTCCTCGTCCTCCTCCTCCTCCTCCTCTTCATCATCTTTTTCCCCCTCATCGTCGTCCTCCTCCTCGTCCTCGCCCTCATAGTTTTTCGTCTTCATCATGTCGGTCGCCCACTAGGCTACTGCCACGTGTCCTCTGGCCAATCATGATGATTCTCGATATAAATATACCCAGGAATGAAAACGAGGAAAGAAAACGAGAAAAGTAAACGGTTTACATTAGGGACGAATACGGTTTCTAGAAGACGTTTTCGAGGGATTATGCGAGAAACCAGTTTGGTGGACGGGGGCGCATCAGTGACGAAATAGAATAAAGCTAATTTAATGCTCGTTTTGCCAGGCACAAACAATCAGAGCCTGCGGCAGGAAGAACTGCTCAGAGCGATTTTGAGGAAAGATCTAGAGGTCGTAAAGAGGGTTGTGGGTTGAAGGGGTTCCACAATGCCACGTGGTGGTGCTATTGAACAGATCGGGCTGCAAACAAAAAAAAATCCCCAGCGGATGTGACAACAGCGAGGGTTTGACGCCAAATGTCGAAAATTCAATCGAGCACTGAGAGATTCGAACTCTCGCGGGCAGAGCCCCATGTACTTAGCAGGCACACGCCTTAACCACTCGGCCAAATGCTCTTGCCACCTTTGACAAGTTATTTTTTCACCCGCATTTGATTTTTTATCCATTCGTCACACTGACGTTTTCATTCTCCTCGTCATTTTCAAGGCAAGCAGTCTGACGCCATGCGACGAGCATCAGTGCAGCTCTCCTCGCTCAGCGGTGGTCGCTGGAATAATGGATTAAGCGATGGTCCTTCTGCTAGGAATGACACTTCAGCAGCATTGCATCTTGCTGAGCGGAGTGGTGCGGTAATTATAGACTCAGTCGCGGCAGCGAGCCGTGAGCATCCTGACGGTGTATCGGAGCTTCCGATATCGAAGCGTTCATTTGTGTCGCCTTCCAGGAATGGCGAAGGTTGCAGAGGTCGTTTCGCTAGCACGTCGCATTGTGATGCTACTCACAATGAGGTTTTCGCCTCGCCGCTCGCATTGTTTCGCGAATGCTTCCTCGACGAATCGCAGTGCGACGAGCGACACAGCGTAGGTCGCTCTGCGACGTCGCACGGCTGTGCGAAACGAGCGGCAGAAGAGATTGCATCCTGCGACCCCGGTGAAGACGAGAGATCGGCTAGGAGAGTGAAAATCGCTCAACGGAATGATGGTGATTCTGACACCCATCCTGTTTTAACAGTATTTTTCCTGATGACATTAAGATATATAATTCTTATGACAGTATTACTGACAATGGCATTAAGAATGGCGGTCATTGTCGTGACGCCACGCCTGCTTATATCGGATCTTCTGGGAGGTTCCAGGCGGGTGAACGGGCCAATCAGGTGGAGCGTTCTGAAGGAGGTGATTGTATAGCTGGTGATTATAACGATGCATTGGGAATGGAACATTCTTGTGAAGACTACGACGAGATATCCGGGATGATGACTCAGCGTCAGGAGGACGCCACGTGGCACAATCAGCATTCAGATGCCCAGGAATTCGAGGAGCAGAACGGTGCACCGGGGAATGGAAGCGGTAGACGAAGGGAACAGGAAGCTTCTGAAACATCCCACGAACTTTCCTACCTCACGGGGGTTGCTGCGGATCGAGCGGAAAGAGGTGTTGGTCTAAGAAAGGGGCAAGGGTGCGGGGGTGGGAGGGGTGATGTTGCAAGAGAGGGGCGAGCGAGTGAGTGGGGGGAGGGAGAGGGGGGTCAGTGTAGGGGAGGCGCGTGAGAAAGGTGTGAGTGTGAGGGTGGAGAGTGGGAGAGGTGTGAGTGGGAGGAGGGATTATGAGGAAGAGGAGGAGGAAGAGGAGGCGAAAGAGGGGGAAAAAGAGCATGTGGTGGAGGTGGTGGGAGAAGAGAAGGATGAGGAGGAAGAGGAGGGGGAGGATGAAGCTGGTGTGATCGAGGTTTCAGACACAGATGGTGAGAGTGAGGAGCAGGGGAAAGAAGAAGGCCAGGAGGAAGGTGGGGAGGGAGGTGGAGGGGAAGGTGGGGAGGAAGGTGGAGGGGATGGTGGGGAGGAAGAGGAGGTGTATGGGAGCGTGGAAGAGGCTGACGTGGACTGTCCAATCTGCGGCTGCCACCTGTCCCATCTGGAGCCAATCAGACGCGAGCAGCACTCCAACGCATGCCTGGATGCCTGGGGACGGGACAGGGGGGAAGAAGAGGAGACAGAGACTTGCAAAATGGGAGCCGATACCGATGCCAGGGGAAGGGACAGGGGGGAAGAGGAGGCGAAGATGTGGAGAACTAGAGTTGGTGGCAGAGTGAAGGGCACAGGGGAGACGCGAGAGGAGAGTGGGGAGAGGGTCGAGGAGGAGGGAGCGGAGGGAGAGGAGGGAGGGGGAGGACGAAGAGAGAGGAGAGGGAGGGGAGGGAGAGGAGGGAGAGGATGCGAATTCCGCAATGGCTAGGATGTTGTGGAAGAGGATAGATGCGGGTGGCATGGGGATGACGATGGGGGCATGGAGGAGGAGAGAGACGGTGGGGGTGAGGGGGGAGGAGTGTGAGGGAGAGGAGGAGGAACGGGAGGGGAAGGGCAAGGGAGAGAAGGGAAGGGGAAAGAAGGAGATGGAGGACATGGAGGAAACGGAGGAGGAAAGGCAGCAAGCGGGTGGACAATCAGGTGGAAATTCAGGGGATGTTTCAGGTGGTTTATCAGGTGCTGTTGGCGCCAAAAAAAACTAATCACTGACTTCTTTGGAGGCGGCAACAGGCACAGGCCACGTCAGCAGCAACAACGGCCCCAGCAACAGCAAGCGCCTGGGGCAGCCGCTTCATTGGCTGAGGTTTCCCGTGGGCACCAGCAGGGAGCAGGACGAGGCGTGAAGTGGGGAGGAGGAAGGTTCGCAGGGAGGGGCGGAGTGGGAGCGCGGGACGAGGAGGGATGTCAAAAGGGAGAGGTGGTGGCTGGCACGGGGGAGAGGGCGAGGTGGGGTGTCGTTACCAGAGGCGTGGGAGATGATCCCAGGCACTGACTTCCTGGTGGTGAGTGCGGTAGGGTATTGTGGTAATCATGAGTGCACTCAAATCCAAAACACACGTACCTTAGTGTTCAGGGAGAGGTGGGGTGTCGTTACCACAGGCGTGGGAGATGATTCCAGGCACTGACTTCCTGGTGGTGAGTGGAGTAGAATTTTGGACTTCGTGCTTGTTTGAACTTTGAAGTTGAGTCAAACGAAAAGCATTTAATCTCTTGTTTTCCATTGGATTCTCAGAATCACAGTTGCACCGCCCCCCCCCCCTGTTGAGTGTCTGCACCTCCCCCTTTTGCGTCGACTCAAATGCACCTCCCCCTTTTGCGTCGACTCAAATGCACCTCCCCCCCCCTCCCTGCCTGCATCGCTCCTTTTTGTTCCTTTTCTTTTGTTGTCTTTCCCGGTCAGTTTATCGCTCGGCTAAAAGGCAATCTTTTTTCGAAACAGCTTTTGCATCTGTGGCCCTTGAGATTCTCAGAACTTGCATGTGTGTTTGTTGCGTGTCTGATGCACACATCTGACAGGACGCATTCAATTCAAGCGACGTGATGCAAGTGATGTTTTGAGATGTCTCAAAATATCACTTTTATCAGATGTCTCAGAAATCGCATGTGTGTTTGTCTGATGCACACGTCTCACAGGACGCATTCAAGCGCACGTTGCCCTCCTGCCACCACTGGGTTCCTCACTCACTTCCATGCTGACCGTATGTCTCCTCTCAATTCCAACTTCCCCTTCCCCTTCCCCTTCCCCCTTCCCCCTTCCCCCTTCCCCGTTCCTCCTTCCTCCCCCTCCTGCCACCACTGGTTCCTCACTCACTTCCATGCTGACCGTACGTCTCTCCTCACTTTCCCCTTCCACCCTCCCCACTCCCTCCCCCCTTCCCCCTTCCTCCTTCCTCCCCCTCCTGCCACCACTGCTTCCTCACTCACTTCCACGCTGACCGTACGTCTCTCCTCACTTTCCCATTCCACCCTCCCCACTCCCTCCCCCCTTCCCCCTTCCCCCTTCCTCCTTCCTCCCCTCCTGCCACCACTGGTTCCTCATACACTTCCACGCTGACCGTACGTCTCCTCTCAATTCCAACTTCCCCTCCCCCTTTCCCCCTTCCTCCTCCCTCCTCTTCCCCCCTGCCGCTTTTCACTCGTTCACTCAATGCCAATCTGCTTGCACGGCCTTTTGTCTTTCACTGGTGTTTTTATGTACCTTTGTTTTCTCTTCTTTTTTTCCTTCCAACTCGTCGTTTCCTTCTGCCCTCGTTTCGTTCCCCCCCTGCCCCCAGACTACAACGGCCTGACCAAATCATTCCGCTTTGGCACAGTCTATTGCTCCGCAGTCACTGCCCGGCTCGTGAAACTCCGTCTCGGGCTGCCCCGAAGAGAAAATTTGCGAGCTGCCCGTGGGCGAGCGGGTAGAGATCGCTGGCGTGGGTGTGACACTAATGGATGCTAACCACTGCCCGGGGGCAGTTATGATTCTGTTTGAACCTCCCAATGGACAGGTGAGTGAGGAAGAATGAGTGAAGTGCATATTGCAAGAGACTAACAAGGTGCCTTGAATTCCTCAGGACTATAAGACTGCCTTGCTCTAAGGGATTGAGGAATTCCTCCTTCCACAGGCGACATTGAGGAATTCCTCAGCACATGGGCGACTTTCAGTTCATTTTTCACCCGTGTGCAGTGCAGCAATCCCTCGTTGCTACCTTGAATTCCATCCATGTCAGCCCTTCCCTGCCTCACTGCCTGCGACATGCCCACCGATCCTTCTCCC